TACCATTTTATTAGTTTAAGTTTATTTTTCCAATTGATTTGTAGTTTGATAAAGCGAAACCAAAAATTTCTTTAAATCTTACCTTTTCCATATTACTAACATTTTATTTCATTTTATTATGTACCTTCCCGTGTCGTATTTTCAAACTTTTTTCCATACACGGTTACAAATAAGATTTTTTTTCATTGTTGAATTTTACAAAAGCATGTTTATGAATTCATTGGATATTCTATCAACATCATGAGGGGTTCCCAGAATTTGATACCTGTTTATATCAACCATAGACGAATTAAAGTCTGGTCATAAAGCCTGTTTATATCAACCATAGACAAATTAAAGTCTGGTCATAAAGCCTGTTTATATCAACCATAGACAAATTAAAGTCTGGTCATAAAGCCTGTTTATATCAACCATAGACAAATTAAAGTCTGGTCATAAAGCCTGTTTATATCAACCATAGACAAATTAAATTCTGGTCATAAAGCCTGTATTTCAGATGTAAAACAAAAAGAAAAAGACGACAGATCAGCTTTATATGACTGCTAATTTATGCAACTGTATCGTCAGAATCAATTATATTTCTAGACAGGAATTACGCTTGCAGTACATCAAAACAGCAACAAACAATGTCTCACTTGGGATTGTTGGATGAGCTAGCAGTATTAATCAATAAGCCTCATAGGTTTGTTCACATCGTTGCAACAACCCTTTTAGGTTCGCAATATTTATACCCTATTCGTTATACTATCTTTTTCTAATGGCAATAACTCATCGCTGCCCAGTCACTGCAGAACCTTCTTTTTGGATTTTACTGTCAATTTGTTCAAGTCAACAGTGTATTTCATAAAAGATCAAATAATTTATCTATCACATTCATAAAAAATTCAAACCTGCTTTAAATTGTTTTTTATATAATACCACTGAAACAATATCAATAACAATAAATAGCTGAGGAGGTCAGGCAAGCGTTTGAAAAGCTTTTACTAAAAAGCTTGTAAGAGATTACTTTTCGGGCTTAATCCAGCAAAAACATACTTTCTAATGAATTATGCTGATGCCAGCTGATGGTTCACTGGTATTTTCAAAGGGTTTTATAATCCAGTATTAAGTGTTGGCACATATATGATTAATAACAAATATATATTTTTTTCAATTTTCTGTTGATAAATTTATTATTTATTAAGAAATTAAGGTTTCGATTCCCTCAGACAAAGTTGACCTTAAATGGTTTTGGTATTATTTTTTTTCATGTCCTTTTCAGTCATAAAGCTCCTCGTGTATTTATACATCCTTGGCTTTCAAATGTTTGATGGTTTTGAGCGTTCCTGTTGAAGGAAAATCTATATAAAAAAACAAGAAATTATTATAACAGGATGCTGTTACGAAGTCTCCCAACAAAGTACCCATAAGTATCATTCATTCAATTCAATAGAATTTCCAATTTAAAAAAAAAAAATGTATCAATTGAAAAAAAATCTGTTCAAGGTCAAAGGTCAAGGTCATAATTGACCATTAACCTTTTGATCTAAAGTAGGCCATATGTTCCCATGGTCATTACTGAAGACCCCATGTGTCTATCACTAACTGTTCTCATGGTATATTCATTTGAAAATAAAAAAGTTTAAAAATCCCATAGGGTTCTATGGTAACCCCCTCCCTTCTGTTGGTCCCTCAAAGTACCCCTTTATTAACCTCAGTGCACAAACAAAATCCTGATGGTACAACTGGACATACTAGTCAAACATATTGTGGAACCATAAGTAAATCTGACAAGCGGTTTTGGAACTGCTGCGGACAAGTTCAAATTTGATACAGAAGAAGAAGAAGAAGAAGAAGAACCAATAAGTCTTTAAACTTTGTTTGGGAGACTTAAAAAAGGCTTCGGACGTCTGTACAAAATAATGAACGAAAAACAAATATGATATACAGCAACAAAAGACAACCACTGAATTACAGGCTCCTGACTTGGGACAGGCACATACAGAATGTGGCGGGGTTAATAACTAGTTTGAAGGCGCGCCAACCCTTCCCTAACCTGGGACAGTGGTGTAACAGTACTACATAAGAACAAACTATAAAAATCAGTTGAAAAAGGTTTAACTCATCAGATCGATACAAGCAGAAATACATCTAACAAAAACACAGAGTGGGCGTGGCAGAGTACTTATATATCACCACAACAAAAAGACACTAAGTACAGATCTGAGAGTACTCGCAGTTACTGACAGCTTGTTCAAAGCCAATAACAACTAATAAAAAAATCATGCATTTAAGTCTACTAAAGTAGGTTAATATCAGACTCAATCTAGTGAACAAGATGCACGCGCCAAACTGATCATTTCTAAAAACCGAAGACTTGCAATAACATTAAACGTCTTTTGAAATCTGGTGACACTCATTTTCTGTAGGAAGACAAATGTGATATATTTTCATAAAGAAAAACTATTGTTCACTGGCTTAATGATCGTAAACCTTAGTCTGGTACCGTTTAAAATATTTAATAACAACTTTGTGATATAACAAAGCATTATCTGTCTTTTGTACGATGTTTTGACTGAGAGGTAGACGGATAAACGGAAGGACGCACTGGACGGACAACGGTATATAGCATAACACGTCCCGTCTTTGATGGGCGTATAAAAATAGGATGTGATACTAGTATGATTGACAATGAAGCAATCATACACTAAAGACAAAAGGGCAATGATGTAAACAACTACAGGTAACCGTACAATTGCATTCAACAATAAGCAAACCCAATACTGCATAGTAAACTTTCAAAGACCCCGGCCGTGAAAGTATCACATGGAACATTCATGAGAGAAAATTAACGACCTAATTTAAGCTAGTATATATAATAGAAAACGATAAAAGTTACCAATCATGGTAAGGGCAACCAACTACAGATACATATAGAATGTGGCTGGGTTAAAACGTTTGTCAACCCTCCCCCTAACCAGGGGCAATGGAGTAACAGAACAACATTAGAACAAACCGCATTATTCAGTTGAAAAGGGAAAGATTTTTTTAAGATCGGCACTAAACACAAAAATCTAGTAACAAAATTATAAACAGACAAACAGCAGTATACAAAACACAACATGGAAAACTAAAGACTGAGCAACACGAACCCCACTAAAAACTGAGGATGATCTCATGTGCTCCGGAAGGGTAAGCAGATCCTCCTCCAAATGTCGCACCATTCGTGTTCCTCATGTTAGTACAAACCCGGTGATAAGTCTAATTCGGTAGGTCACATTGGGGCAAAGGGGACGAGTTCCGACAATTGGAACATATCTGTTGTCGTCTGTGAAACTGATATTCCATACCGGTCAAACAACTTGTGATGACGTCCGTAAAATGAACGAAGGGATGATCTCAACTTCACCACTTGGAACTCTTGGTTTAATAGCTTCCTTGTGAGCAGCTACACTCTACCAAGGAAATCATGATAGGAAATCAATTGGGAGACATATACTCCGTATATGCAGGCGCTGTTGGAATGTTACTACAGAGAAATGGAAAGTTCACATTTGGGAAGCTGAAATCATCTCTTTGTCGTAAAGTTTTGTTTTCAACCGACTATCATTGTCAATTTCTAGATGTAAGTCAATATACGAGGCAGACTTAAGTGTATCTGTTGTATCCTTTATCTCAAGTTCGATGGGATAGATGCGTTCAACATCACATAATTTTAAATTATTTAGTGATCGAGATAACATCATCTACATAGCGGAAAGTGAAGTTAAAGGATACTGCTAACTTCTTTTCTTTCTTCTTAAGAAGCTTCTGTATGAAATCAGACGCCTCATATGAAAAAAGGAACAAGTCGGCAAGAAGAGGGGCACACTTGGTTTTCTTGGGAATGCCGATTGTTCGTTGAAAAACACGTCCTCCAAACGTAACAAATATGTTGTCAATCAAGAAATCAAGCATCTTTATAATGTATATTTCAGAGAATTTTTTGTTTGAATCAAAGTGGTATTTTACAAAGTACGATTTATCCCTCCCTAAGGCAAGATTCTTGTATCTTTTTCTCCCATAGGCCTAGCTTTTTAAATTGATTCAGAAACGTATTTTCTCCAGTCACAGTGGCTTCGAAAATGACTTAATGTTTTGTTTATAATTATGTTACTTTGTTTAAATGTGTATGCTCTAATCATTCTCATCATTTACTGTGGTTTTTTTTGTAATACATTTGATTGTATAGCTCAAATTTTGGGCACCATGATTGGTTAATAAAATATCTTGTATCTTGTATCTTGTATCTACGTTGGCCATTCTTTTTTATGAAACAGAGGAGGATCAACTCTTTCAATTTGTCTAATTTACTGTTAATTATATCATAAAATAAAAAAGAAATGAATTTCATCTTCACTTTTTTTGCAGTTTTTGCATAATCTTTCTTCTCTTTTAAAATAGCTCTCCTTTTCTATTAATAAATTTTTGTCACTTCTGAAATTTTTTATCACTTTTTTTAATTCAAATTTTGAGTAAGTTAAATACTAACTTACGAATGTAATGTTACTTAATGTTGTTTTCCGATACAGGATCCCCACGGTTCCTCTTCACCAGACTCGTATATTATGTTTTGTTCTGGGGTTAATTCAGCTCGGTAATCAGAATAATGATTTCTTCAAAATGATATCCATTTTTTTAAAAAGTTAGTTTGCTGTTGTCATTTATATTTTATATCTGTTATTTTATCGTTTATGAACTTTTCATAAAATGCAATAAGACAAAAAAAAATGTTACTAGTCTTAATTATACATCTGACAGTTCGATCAACAGTGCAGATAATAAACTGACTTACCATTCATCAAATTAGCCTTGCGTCATTAATTTTCGATGTACACAAATACACAAAGTTTATAGTTTGTATATATGTCTCTGTGTACATGTAAAAATAAAAATTGAAACTCTTGCACAATAACAGATCATTACACATATCTAATCCGTCTTTGTTTATTATCTTTCATACGTTTTGGAAATACCCTTCGTTTTTCGTTATGCTATTTTTAGTCAGTTTCTCAGATAGTGATACGTCAGAGTGTCCATTCTCAAAAGAGGAAGAAATATACAGGTATTGATAGTTTGTCATTTTGATCAATATTTATTCCATTCATTATTTTTTTGTTTCCTCGATTTTCATTATTGATGAAACATTTGACTACAGTGGGATGTGCACACTACATAAACAAGTCTCATGCAGTTTGCGCCATGATATACATTTATATCCTCAGCCATCCTGATATCCATTTTTTATCACTGTGAATTAATATCCCTTTAAGGGTATCATATCCATTAATGTGGATAAACCCATTTGTGAGGAACGTCCTCAACACGGTCCTACTAAAAAGCGCCCGGGAGCGCCCGGGAAAAGAAAAAGCGCCCGGGGAAAAGAAAAAGCGCCCGGGGAAGAAGAAAAAGCGCCCGGGGAAGAAAAAAAGCGCCCGGGAGAATAAAATAATAATACTTTATAACAATAAATGTTTTCCTGAATAAAAAAAAAATAATCATTGCTTGTTCTGTCCTTAATATAAATGGGGATATGTACGATGCTACATCTAAAGTGTGTAGATAGTGTTGTTGCACTTTTAAAAGGAAAAGGCTTTGACGAAAGCAATACACAAGTGCTTTCCAGATGCCCAGCAAATTCTTTGCACACGTCACATTGAGGAAAATTTTAAGAGACATTTGCGGGAAGTCATTGGCGAAAAAGACCCAAATTACAACAACGTGCTCAACGATGTTTTTGGCGTAGATGGTCTCCTCTCTTCTCAAGATGATGTTGAGTTTGACCTAAAGATAATGGAATTGGAAAAAAAGTATGAGCACAGTGTTCCCGCGTTTCAACGTTATTTTAGCAGTAATACATCATCTCTGAAGAGCTATGTCTGGGAACCGACACAAAAAGACATTGCACCAATTAAATGGAAGAACAATTCATGCGAATTCATGAATAATATTTTAAAACTATCGACAAATTGGAAAGCCGCTAAGCTCCCGGACCTTATAGACAAACTACACAAAATTGTTCAATTACAATATCGAGATATACGCCGAGCATTACATGGCTAGGGGAACTATGCGTTGGCTCCTTGGGCTAAAAAACTTCAAGTAACAGAAGTGGTATGGTCGTCGAAATGTGCAAAAGAAAAGGACGCCATTTCAGAAAGTTTATGAATCTAAATAGTATTCATATATGTTGTCAAAATTGAAACATTCATACTTGTTTTTGTGCTTTTTTACAAATGTCTATTATCTGAATTTGCAAAATACTTGTCTAAAATTAAAAACAAAATCAATGTACATAACTTATTTCATCGACACAAAGTTGTCTCATGCCAATACAATATCTATATATTTTCCCCAGGCGCCTTTTCTTTTCCCCGGGCGCTTTATTTTCTTCCCCGGGCGCTTTTTCTTTTCCCCGGGCGCTTTTTCTTCACCCGGGCGCTCCCGGGCACTTTTTAGTAGGACCCCCTCAACATGTGCATGCTAAAGGAGAGGTGAAAGATACCATAGGGACATTCAAACTCATCAGTCGAAAATGACAACGCCATGGCTAAAAAAGAAAAATGCCAACAGACAAACAATAGAACACATAACACAATGTAGAAAACTAAAGACTGAGCAACTCTAAATTATATACATTTTTACATGTATCTCGATTAGGCTTTATACAGTGGTTCTTTCAACTTCTAGATTGGGTTCAACCAGCTTTTAAATATCTCCCTAGCTGTGTATTTTATAGAAGAAGAAAAAAATGAAGAAAAAATATGAGGTGTCCATGACGGTGGTTTGCGGAGTTGTAATGTTATAGACTCTCCTTTTCTGTTCGTGTTTGATGTAGACGTTTAATATCTTAATGTTATTTAATATGATTTGTTGAATTAATAACTTAAATATTATATTTACATGTAGGTCACATTTAAACAATAAAAGACAAAAAAAATAATTTTTGGGTGTTCGGCGATGTGCAGTGGTGTTCGGTGTTGAAAAAACTACCGTCTAATTAATAGATCATGCATTTTTTTAAAGTTATTTTAATGATATGATATGTTGTATATTTAAGTAGTTTTATTGTTTGTTTTTATGTTCTGTGGTATATTTTGGGTGTTCTGTGGTAAAAAAACGCTCCGGTGTATTTGTTATATTTCAAACTTTTTATTCAATAGCTAATCATGGCATATGGTGAGTATGTACAATCAGGGACAGTCTATACTAACTAGTATAGAAAGTCCCTGGTACAATAAACCAATATATTAAACCGAAATCTTGTACATTTTTTTTATAGAAACTAGGCAATGAGTCTAGGGTTCAAGTAGCCTAAATAATTATGACGTCTTGAAAGGCTTTTTCAATTTTTTGCTTTGACTCCTATTTGAAGACAAGACGTCATAATTATTTGGACCAGGCTTCAAGTAGCTTCTGTGGAAGTATTATTTAACATGTTTACAGCTCTTCTATAAAAGCATGAAAAGCAAACCTTTGATCAACTTGCTATGTTTGCTTGGATGTTTGCAAACAATAGGTAGGCGGAGTTTCAGTCTGTTTTGTATATACTGGAATTTGATTAGACAATAAAAATTGACATGCAATGAAGTTGATGTTTATTGTCCAATCAAATTCCAGTATATAGTAAACAGACTGAAACAGACTACATGTACCTACCTTTTGTTTACAAACATCCAAACAAACATAGCAAGCAAGTTGATCAAAGGTTTGCTTTGCATGCTTTTATAGAAGAGCTGTAATAATGAGACAAATATCGTCCATATGATTATTTTAACTTATTCTTTTATTATATTTCTAATATGTTTACAAGTATAGGGACTTTCCCTCCCATTCATTACTCCACAGAGATTACAAAGATTGCGTAATGTCTTGGTAGTATTTTTCAAGGTCACTGTCCAATCACATCTTTGTATACTGTACACACGCTGAAACTCCGCCCCTCTATTGATTGCAAATGTCAATCTTAAATACATTGCTTGAGCAAACATTGATACAAACAGAGCAAGCAAGCCAAACAAATCTTTGTCTTGCTAGCATTATGAAAAGAGCTGTAAAGATTTAATCAGTTTGAATTCAACACTTTTTAAAATAGGCAAATTTGCAATGAAAGAAATTAAGTAAATACAACATATGTATTTATTCAGTTACAGTAGGTCAGCACATAAAAAATTGACTCTTTTTAGAAGTCAACAGGTCGGCACTTTATTAGGGGTACTAGTCAAATTGGCACCTGGTCAATTTGACACCTAAAAGAGAAAGTAAATTCTGTTCAGCACTTGGTCAAGTACATGTAATACAAGTATTATATCATACTTTTACATGTACTAATAATCAGAAGTCCAAAATTCAAAGGAGAGGAACATTTTTAAACCCTCAGTTTTGTGCATTTTGTTATATTATAACAGATTGTTAGAAGTAAAAGACTTTAAAAGGAAACAACTCATTGACATTTCAGTTATTTTTTTACAGAAAACAATAAATTTTCTAAACATATTTAGTAAATATTTTGAAAAATATTCCATAACATTTAAATTTCTATGAATATTTTCAAATGCTATAGCAATAACATCAAACTAAATTGTATGAAACACCTTTGCAATTTATTTATGAAATTTCTATTTCTCACTTTTAATTTGAAATACATGTACTGTGCCTTTTGCTGTGTGTTTGTTTATTCTACATTGGCTAGAGGTATAGGGGGAGGGTTGAGATCTCACAATACATGTTTAACCCGGCGCATTTTTGTGCCTGTCCCAAGTCAGGTGCCTTTAGCCTTTGTTAGTCTTGTATGTTTTTTAATTTTAGTTCATTTATATGTTATGGAGTTTAGTGTTCATTTTCGCTGAACTAGTACACATTTTTGTTTAGGGGCCAGCTGAAGCCCACCTCCGGATGCGGGATTTTCTTTCTGTGTTGAAGACCCATTGATGGCCCATGGCTGTTTTCTGCTCTTTGGTCAGGTTGTTGTCTTTTTGATACATTCCCCATTTCCATTCTCAATTTTAATCTTAATCTTAACAGACATAAGAAGTACAGCTAAATATTTGTATTTAAACTATGCAATTAATTTCTACTTTATCTGTAGAAAAGTAATCCTCCAAAAAAATCACAAGAATAGTTGAAATTTTTAATTACAATATAGGCCCATATAATCATTTAGACTGCACATTAAAGTACAAATGTATTAATGCCTATACTGAATTTCATAAAGAGATATCTGAATGTTTTCTAAGCCATTTCATATCAGCCAAACTGTTTTTTTTTTGTCATTAAAACAAGGAATTATTTGAATCTGGAATAATTTTGAATTTTGGAAAATTGATAAGCAATGTATGATAAAAACTAACCCAACTAAATAGGGTTAGCCATGCACACATGGCTAACCCTAGGGTTTGTTAGTTCATACTGAAATATCAGTGAAAGTAAAATTAACGTTTAGTTGGGTTAGTTTTCATCATACATTTCTCATCAATTATTCCAGATTCAAATATTTCCTTGTTTTAAGTATTAATCACTCAGACACTGGTATGAAAAGGGTTTAGTATTCAAAATGTAATTGTTTCAACTTTTACTGTGTAAGAAATTTTCAGATCTATCAATTTATTCATTACCACTTATTAATTTAAAAAACTTTATTTGAGTCTTTATACCTTAAATTATTTGGTTATTTTTTGCTTTTTTTCCTTGACTCAGCTTTTCAGCTTTTATTTCATGGCTTTTTGTTACAAAATGTTTGGTCTAAATCATCACTGCAGAGATATTATTTATCAAAATTTATTTTGATATATACATGTAAGTAAAATGTTTTTGAAATAGGAATGACAATGATCTGATTTTTAGCATTAAGCATGACATTAAGAAAACCAGTTTTAGAGTGAGAATTTAATTAAGTTATTTGATTGAAGGTACAACTACAGTCTCAACAACAATATTGTTGCCACAGTGATATCATATTCAGTATTATCAAAGAAGAAATGGGTAGTAGAAAGGATGTAAAGGATTCTGCACCTTTTAGTGATGATGATGAAACAATAAAAAAAGAAGCACCTATTATGACCAATGGAACACATAGGTATTGTTTTATATTATTACTCATTTGTTTTCTTTGCATGTAATACTGATTTCTTATAAAGTCTGTCAAATGTATAGAGGTCAGGAAATCACCATATCACTAATAAACTTTTCTAGTTAATTCTACTTTTATCTTACCTGTAAATTAATAATATTCATACTATTGTTAAGACCCCTGCTACAGTTCATGCATATTTTGACAATAACTGTATTGTTGTTTGCAGTTTGTTGAAAAGAAGACTAGTAAGAATTATTTTTGCTAACAACTCATTTTATTCAGTTTGGTTCCTGAGAAATGATACTTTAAAAAAATGTTAATGTTAATAGAATTCATTATTTTAGTGTATCATAGTTTAAAGAATGTCCCTTGGTTAGCAGACTTGTGTGTATCCCATGTTTCAATTTGGTTGGTCATAAAAGAAAATCAACCATTTATCCCTCCAAAATGCCGACCAAGGGTAGTTACTGAAACTCAAATTACGTCATTCAAAACCTATCTACACAGTAGAACATTACACACTTCTTTGGCTACGTTATTAAGGAATTATACAATGCAATATGGTACAATAAAATAATTCATCATGTACATGATATACTATTGGTAAATAACTAATAATTTATACAGTATGATAATAGTATTAAACTTAAGTAAATTCCATATTTGCTGAAATGGTGCTTATAATCCAGCTGATATGAAAATATTAATAACATGTCTGTTTGAAACATATTACAGCTTTCCTACAAAAAATAACTGACCGCCAAGAAATAGCACAATAGTGCTGAAAGTGGCGTTAAACACAAATCAAACAATCTATCAATACATATTATCACATGGCAATTCATGGTGACAATCAGCAAATTCCTGAAAATTTTTAAGTCACAGTAGGATGAAAGTCAAAGATTAAGAATCAAGAAATTATATTAGGAAAAATGAAAAACAAACACATTTTTTCTTAATACCATACCTGCATTTTTTCAAAGTCTTTTTAACTTTTTTAGCTCTATGAAAGTGTCACAGAGTACAAACTATTTCACCAAATATGGTCTGTCTTAAATATTTTATACGACTAAAATGTATTAAATATTTTAGACAGACCATATTTGGGGAAATTTTTTGAACTCTCGTGTCGAACCATTATATTTCTTTTGCCAAAGTCTTTCGCCAAAAATGAATCTTAATTGCCACAATTTTTTATTTTTTTGTCAAAATGCGAAAATGGCAATCGCCAGCAGAAACCTTGCATTTTTTGTCATACAAAAATATCAGCATAATTTCCTGAATTCCTTAGAAATTATAAGTATGATTGAGTTTACTATTGTTTAATATGTCTTAAATATCGTTAAATATATTTAATTGTCTATGTTGATGACTTAAAGTATAAATAGACTTTTTATACGACCGCAAAAATTAAAAATTTTTTGGTCGTATATTGGTATGACGTTGGCGTCGTCGTCGTCGTCGTCCGGTGTCGTCCAGCGTCGTCCGAAGACACATTGGTTTTCGCACTCTAACTTTAGTTTAAGTGATTGGATCTCCATGAAATTTTACCATAAGGTTCAATACCACGAAAGGAAGGTTGGGATTGATTTTGGGGGTTATGGTACCAACAGTTAAGGAATTAGGGGCCAAAAAGGGGCCAAAAATAAGCATTTTTGTAACTTCCAGACAATAACTTGTGTGTAAGTGTATGGATCTCTCTGACATTGTACCACAAGGTTCCATATCTCAAAGGGAAGGCTGTAATTGATTTTGGGGGTAATTGCCTCAAAATGTTAGGAATTAGGGGCCAAAAAAGGGGCAAAAAACAAGCATTTTTCTAGTTTCATGACAATAACTTGTGTGTAAGTGTTTGGATATTTCTGATATTGTACTACAAGGTTCCATATCACAAAGGGAAAGCTGGAATTGAGTTTGGGGGTAATTGCCCGAAACGTTTAGGAATTGGGGGCCAAAAAGGTGCCAAAAATAAGCATTTTTCTAGTTTCCAGACAATAACTTGTGTTCAAGTGTATGGATCTCTCTGAAATTGTACTGCAAGGTACCATACCACAAAGGGAAGGCTGAGATTGAGTTTGGGGGTGATGAATCATAAGGGGGTTCAACAAATTTTGGGGGGGGATTTTTTTTTTTCTTTTTTTTTTCTTTTTTTCCTCTTTTTTTTCTTTTAAAATTTTTAATTTTAAGTTGGTTATTTCTGATTTATATTTAAAAGCAAATAATAATGATATGGTAGGAGATACACACCAAACAGGATGTGTAAATTATTATATAATAAGTATTGTGCAATAGCAAGAAATTTTCAATTGCACAGTATTGCACAATAGCAAGAAATCTTCAATTGCACAGTATTGCGCAATAGCAAGAAATCTTCAATTGCACAGTATTGTGCAATAGCAAGAAATATCCAATAGCACAATATTGCGCAATAGCAAGAAATTGTCAATTGTACAGTATTGCGCAATAGCAAGAAATATTCAATTGCACAGTATTGTGCAAAAGAAGATACTTCGTATAAATTGCTTATTTCTTGATCAATTTCAATGGGGTTTTATTCTTGAATTCTTGGGGTTCTTTAATATGCTGAATCTAACCGTGTATTAAGTTTTTGGATTTTGGGCCCCGTTTTTAAATTGGTCCACATTGAGGTCCAAAGGGTCCAAAATTTAACTTTGTTTGATTTCATCAAAAATTGAATTATTGGGGTTCTTTGATATGCCGAATCTAACCGTGTATTTAGATTCTTAATTTTTGGTTCTGTTTTCAAATTGGTCTACATAAAGGTCCAAAGGGTCCAAAATTAAACTTAGTTTGATTTCAACAAAAATTGAATATATGGAGTTCTTTGATATGCTGAATCTAACCATGTATTTAGATTTTTGATTATGGGCCCAGTTTTCAAGTTGGTCCAAATCGGGGTCCAAAATTAAACTTTGTTTGATTTCAACAAAAATTGAATATATGGGGTTCTTTGATATGCTGAATCTAACCATGTATTTAGATTTTTGATTATGGGCCCAGTTTTCAAGTTGGTCCAAATCGGGGTCCAAAATTAAACTTTGTTTGATTTCAACAAAAATTGAATATATGGGGTTCTTTGATATGCTGAATCTAACCATGTATTTAGATTTTTGATTATGGGCCCAGTTTTCAAGTTGATCCAAATCGGGGTCCAAAATTAAACTTTGTTTGATTTCAACAAAAATTGAATATATGGGGTTCTGTAATATGCTGAATCTAACCGTGTATTAAGTTTTTGGATTTTGGGCCCCGTTTTTAAATTGGTTCACATTGAAGTCCAAAGGGTCCAAAATTTAACTTTGTTTGATTTCATCAAAAATTGAATTATTGGGGTTCTTTGATATGCCGAATCTAACCGTGTATTTAGATTCTTAATTTTTGGTTCCGTTTTCAAATTGGTCTACATAAAGGTCCAAAGGGTCCAAAATTAAACTTAGTTTGATTTTAACAAAAATTGAATTTTTAGGGTTCTTTGATATGCTGAATCTAAACATGTATTTAGATTTTTGATTATGGGCCCAGTTTTCAAGTTGGTCCAAATCGGGGTCCAAAATTAAACATTGTTTGATTTCAACAAAAATTGAATATATGGGGTTCTTTGATATGCTGAATCTAACCATGTATTTAGATTTTTGATTTTTGGGCCCTGTTATCATTTTTGTCCACATTGAGATCAAAAGGGTCCAAAATTAAACTTTGTTTGATTTCATCAAAAATTGAATTCTTGGGGTTCTTTGATATGCTGAATCTAACTATGTATTTAGATTTTGGATATTGGACCATAATAGGTGAATGTCCAATTTAAAATTTTTAAGTTCTTAGACCACATTCATTCTGTGTCAGAAACCTATGCTGTGTCAAATATTTAATCACAATCCAAATTCAGAGCTGTATCAAGCTTGAATGTTGTGTCCATACTTGCCCCAACTGTTCAGGGTTCGACCTCTGCGGTCGTATCAAGCTGCGCCCTGCGGAGCATTTTATTTCATATACCGACTTTTGACTCTGGGATCTATAATTTTTTCAACAGCTAAACTACTGTTTTTGAGGACATTCTGGTACTCCGTCAAGTAAGAGCAACTAAAAGAAACAAAATCAAGCTTAGCTTACATGCAGTGCAAATTGGAGAAAAAAATTAACTAATTTCCGATGATTTTGTCATGTATAGAAAACATAAAACATTTAAATAATCCACCAAATTGCCCTTATGTATCAGTTAAAATGCGTGGTAGGAAAGAGTACTTTATAATACATCAATTTAACATAAATGATTATTACTCATTTATGATAATTGGTAATAACAAGATAAACTACAATATAAAAGTGTAAACTTAAAAAAAAATGTACACTTGTACATTATACCATAAATGTCATAAGGCAAGTTATATGAAAATGATTTCAATTTTAGTACCAATTCAGGCCCAGGTACAATATCCAAAAAACATTTGGACCAAGAGAGGTATCCAGTAAGTGCTGGGATAGCAGTAGTGATCAACAACATAGAATTTAACGAAAACTTGAATTTACCTGATCGTAAAGGAAGTGATGTGGATGCCTCATCTCTCTTCCAAAGATTCCAGGAACTGGGTTTTGATAGTGATCTTTTGAATGATGCCAGTAATGAAGATATGATGGAAAAATTTAATGAAAGTAAGACTTAAAAAACAGTTTTGTTTAAATTTTAATATTCTGTTTTCAGATAAAAATTGTACGCTTCATTATGAAGCATGAAATATATGGCTCACCCCAATTATTTATGACACGTTTGTTATCCATAAATTTTCAGCTCACTGTCACTCAATTGGTTTTTTAAAGGCAGTGCTTTAATGCCTTTCTAGTTGCCGGGTTAATCCTTCCTTCCGCGATATCCAACTTATCTACGTGGGAGGTCATTAGGCTCCAAGTAGATCCAGAAATGTTGAATTCTCTCCTCTTCTTATTGTGATATAAAATGTTTTTTGTTTCATTTCATTTACATTGGGAAATAGAGAAACGATCATTGTGTTTTGTTAGTTTTAAAAACTTTTGAATTATTTGTATTTTGCATTATAAGCAGTCAACCGATTGACAAACTAGATTTATTTGAATTCCGTGTGGAAAGAGGTCGGGTTAATTTCGAGTGTTATCTGCAATCTAGATTTTTATAAATCATTTCAGTCGTTGATATAATAATTAAAGGTCGACTGAACATGAATTATATTATACAATTTAAAGCGCATTTCTGTTTATGCACGTGAACCCGTCTAACGTTATTGTTATTTCGTTATTTCGCAGTAATGTAAAGTAGCAAATTATCGTTCCTGAATAGGTGGCGCCGTGTTAGCCCATCCTGTTCCTCAACTTCCTGTTTCTGCACTGTGCAACTAGAACAGTTACATTTTTAATAAACGATGCCAAGTACTTGTTGTTGTGTACCTGGATGTCATTTAAGAGGAGGACATGCATTTCCAAATGACTTAAAAAGAAGGAAAAGTTGGATCAAAGCCATGGCCCATACGCAGATTGGAAGAGAACACGATGAAATCGTGGAGTCCATCTCAATAAGCTGTTGTTTGCAAGGCACATTTTACTGAAAAAGACTACGTGCAGGAAACTATAAGAAAAATCAGGGCAGTTTCCTGTGAAAACAAAAGAACTAAACTTGATGAATATTGTAGTAGAAATCTAGAGGAAAGTTTTGATTGTAAAGTTGGTTTTCCTGAAGAAGTCATTCATACTGCAGAAAGGATTTATGACTGTCCACCACCAACTGCCGAGCTAATGTTGAGCTTCACAGATGGAATTACGCAAACACCATCAATGCCTATGTTTTCAGCAGAGAATTTTGAAATGAAGACACGTGACACAGCCATGCATTTTTATACCGGTTTAGAGTTGTATACTAAATTTTTATTTGTTTTGACCACACTTGGTCCAGCAGCACATTGTTTGAGATACATATATTTTCAAATTGATAGCTATAGGGTGTCAGTTGAAAATCAGTTTTTTTAGGACTTTGATGAAATTGAGGCATTATACAACCAACTTTGAACTGTCTAGATTCTAGATTGAATCTAGTGTTAATAATATTGTGTATACATGGATTGTTTTTATGTCTAAACAGTGGTGTGAGGCTTACACTTGGCCATCTAGTGGTTTAGTCAGGTATTTTTCGCCATCCAACTTCAAATTAAAGTTTCCTACAACTTGGATTATGATTGACAGCACAGAATATCCCTGATAAAACCTAAAGCTCCTAGAGCTCAGGCAACCTTTTCATCATATAAAAACAGAAACACTGAAAATACTTGTATATTCAACACCTGGTGGTTTAGTCAACTATGCCTCTAATGCATATGTTGGTTGTACCAGTGACTGTGAAATAGTTGAAAGATGTAGAATAGTTCAATTATGTGATCCAGGTGACAGTGTGATGGCAGACAAAGGTTTAAATGTGCAAGATTTGTTTGCTAACTTTTTTCAAAAAAAGAAACAGAATAAGTTCCAAAACTCTTATACGAGATAGAAAAGTCTCCAATTAACACGTGCACATACATTGTAGAGCCAATTATTGGACTTGGCAAAACACAAAATTCTAATAAATCCTATGAATGGAACTGAAACAAAACTTTCATCTGAAATAACATTTAGTTGTTTTATGTTGTGTAATTTTAGAACTTGTATTGTGCCAAAGGATGCATAAATAAAAGTGACGCAATGAATTTTGTTCTGATATATATATATTTACAATTACATGCACATGTAAATTGTAATGCATATAAAAATAAGGAGATGTGGTATGATATTCAGTGAGTTTATCGAACCAAAGTGCATGAGAAATGGGTTTAAGCAGTTACAGGTGTTACTGTCACCGTACAATCTCCAACAATGAGAAAAACTCGTACCGTGTAAAAAATTTCAGAGATCTTACAACTAAGTTTTGTTGTCTCACCTTGACTTTGGTGAATTGTTTATATCTGTTGATGTAAATATAAAAAAGAAGATGCGGTATGATTGCCAATGAGACAACTCTCCACAAGAGACCAAATGACACAGAAATTAACAGCTATAGGTCACAGTACGGCCTTCAACAATGAGCAAAGCCCATACCGCACAGTCAGCTATAAAAGGCCCCGAAATGACACTGTAAAACAATTCAAACAAGAAAACTAAAGGCCTAATTTATGTACAAAAAATGAACGAATAACAAATATATGCAACACATAAACAACGACAACCACTGAATTACAGGCTCCTGACTTGGGACAGGCACATACATGTACATACAGAATGTGGCGGGGTTAAACATGTTAGCGGGATCCCAACCCTCCCCATAACCTGGGACAGTGGTGTAACAGTACAATATAAGAATGAACTATAAAAATCAGTTGAAAGAGGCTTAAAACTCATCAGATGGATAAATACAAATACAAGTGGACGTGGCCGGGTAGTTGTACATCCAAACAACAAAAAGACACTGAGTACAGATCTGAGAGTACTCGCAGTTACTGACAGCTAGTTCAAAGCCACTAACAACTGATAAAAAAATCTTGCATCTAAGACTAAATTATCAATCCGTAAGCTCCCTTTAAAATTTTATAAATTTTAGATTTAACATTTCTGAGTTATGGGGTTTTATTCATTAAAAAAGGGGGGATTTTCCAGTTTTTGGACAACAACTCAAAAATGCTTTAAGCAGTTCGCATGAAACTTTGGTGAATTATTTATAGCTATTGATGTTATCTCCCTATTGATTTCAATAAATTTCAAATATGACATTGAGAAGAAATTGAACTTTATTTGTTTATAGTCTGGCAACAGCTTTATTAAGTATTGCGCAACAGCACAGTGTATTGCACAACAGCAAGAAATCTTTAATTGAATATAAATTCAATTCATATAACCGATTTCAAGTTCTTTGACTACATTTATTCAGAAACTATAATATGTCAAATATTTAATTACAATCCAAATTCAGACCTGTATCAAGCTTGAATATTGTGTCCATTTTTGCCCCAACTGTTCAGGGTTGGACCTCTGCAGGTGTATCCAGCTGCGCTCAGCGAATCAGTTTATTTCTTAATTAAGAACTCCTTTTTTCATTCATAAATTACTTTATACTTGGAAATATAATTTTGCTTGGAGTTATAGTTTCTAAAAAAAGTATTGTCATTGAAAGAGTTGACATGTTACAATGTACATTTATTCTACATAGTTCTATGGTCCAAATCAAAAGTTTATATAAAAAAAAAGAAGTCAAAGGTTTCCAATCATAGTTTAGTTACATACATTTTTTTTGTACCTGAGGTCGTTGAATATAGATCATTATATAAATAAGGAGATGTGGTATGATTGCCAATGAAACAACTATCATCCATACTTACTAGTAACAAACCACAATTGCAAAGTTGAATAAAATACAGTTGATAACATTTATTTATTACTAAAAAGAAAATGCCCAACTATATGAAACAGTATTTGACTCTAAACATAGATAAACAAGGTACAAACTGGACTTAATGGCACTAGTTCATAAACAAGTGAGAACAATCGCCTTCATATAGTGCTCAGAATATGACATTCATAAAACTTGTTCAATATCATTAGAGAACTCTAAATCTTAAATACTGAAAGCCACCTCTGATAAGTACACTGTACTATGCAAGATAATGATATAACTGGACTAAAAATACACACAACCTGTAATTAACTGCCTTTACAGCGCTTTCACGCTTTGATTTTTTAATGCAGAGTTGCAGACACTGAATTAAAGTTATTCATGGATTTGGTATATGCTTTTTTCAATTTGTATACTAGAGTACTAAAAAAGGATACACTTTAATTTGATTATTGTATCATACTTTCTGTGCATGCTTCCTAATGATGAATGCTTACTTGATTCAAATTAAAAAAATTGTACCTGCTCTATCTCAAAAATATTTTTGCAGTGTAGTGTACTACTATTGGGAAAAATTATACCAAACTATAGAAAAGTTTACCAGCTCTATCTCTAAATATGGACATTTCAATGTTAAGGAGGTCTGTCAGTTTGACAGCTTCAGAAATGCTAATTTTTGACCTTTTTTAACTGAACCAAGTCACTACTTTACCTTCAAATGAATCACCAAATTTTTAAAACATGAAATTCCGTGCCCCTGCTTAATATTTCATGCATAACATATAGGAAAATAAATTTGGAAAATGTATGAAAAAAAATCTGCAAGTTATACACTGTCTCTATTTACTTTCAATGCTTCAACTTGTACTTCTTAGTTTTTCTGCGATTTGGCCTTCCAGATAAGAAATTTTTAAATAAGAAAAGTTAAAGAAATGAAAATGAACGGAATGATTTATTTAATGCTTTAAACTGTGAAGAGATAATTTCTTCAGGAATTACATGGATGTAAATTTTGTTAAGATTGATATGAACATATAACTTTGTAATCTGCTTTCCTGAATTGTCATGGTTGTGTAAAAAATATGACCTTTAACAACAACTTTAGCTAAGCATACATTCCATATAGGCACGTGATTACAATTATTGCCCTTTGATTGTCATTGTCTACAAATATAATCCTCATTGTGGACCATGTATTTCTGAAAATTTTGTTCTGAATATATGCTTGCTTATTCTTTTTATCATTGCTTATAAAAAACATATTACCATGTTT